AAAAAAAAAAAAAAAAAAAAAGAAACGGTATGCAGTCATGACTGCATGGAATGTTCTCAACATAGAATCATCATTGTTTTTTTTTCTCCTCCTCTCATTTGAATCGTCTTGTTAACTGTGATTGTACGACAAATTGTATGAAGGAACAGAGAACTATTTTAGTGCAGGCAATAAATGCCGCTCCTACACGAGTGGACAAAGCACATAACGGCGAGATAACGAGCGTCGACATGAACTGTGGGAAGCGAGAAGAGGCGCCAAGATTAAACTAGTGGCCGGGATCCTCATAGAAAGTGGAATATAGCGGAGAATAGCACTATACTACCTACGTAACCAGGAGTCCGAGCTTGTATGGTTGAAGATCCTATGAACAGAATGCCGTTACACTTTTTTTGCTATGGATGTTGGCACGTCTCACACTCGACGAGGTTGCATTTGCCCTTTGCACTTTGCCTTGAGCCAAGGATCGTGCAGATTTTCTCCAGGCGGCAGCCAGCAAGAGAGGGAAAGGATATCTCACTTTTGAGACTCCATATCATCAATCCCAAGCATTTGGCAAGCGCGAAACATTTTTTCTCTTCCATGACCTCCAAACGAGGGGGTGGACTGGGTCAAAGCCCGAAGGATTTGCACGTCGCAACGATATGATCAATGGTCGCTCCCCTTGTGGCCTAGGTCATGTGCGCGAGGCGGATCCTTCTTTGACGCTCAATCGGCTGCTTGTACCGTTGACAAGCGCGGCATAGGGCTGGAAGATCTGAGCGAGGGGGGTGGGTAATACCCTCTGATGCGTATGGCGGCAGAGGCGGTCCCAACAAGGCTGCTGGCTGCGAGGTGTTTTCTTGATTCCTTCCTGCTTCACGATCGTTTCATACAAGTAGAAAGATGGTCTGTATACCTAGGTACTTTGCCTGTATATCGGCCCCAAAAAAAACCAAAACCAAGATCTTGTTGATTAGCAAAAGAGCAAGTGTGCCGGCAAATGATGAATCCTGCAGGACGCACCTCTGGCTGGCAGAAACCCACCATGGTGCAAAGACGGGACAAGGACATGACAGCCAGCCAGCCAGCCAGCCAGCCAGCAGGCACGAGAACGCATCTCCATCCCCATACTACGCTATGCTGACGAGCAGCAGAAGAAGTTCGAGCCGGTAGGGGGAGGAAAATAAAAAAGCTGCTGGGGGCATCCATGCTGGCGCGAATCCTTCAAAGCAGGTTCGGTAATGTAGCGGGTCCTTCACACCCAACCGTTGGAGTTGAACAAAGTAGGCAGAGCCAGGACACCTCGTGCGTGGGTAACATTTTTTGAAAAAAGCAGGCGACCTCGACTTCGTTTGGGGGGAGTGGTTGTGCTGGCTATTGGTGAAGGACGCAATGGCCTTTTCTTGCTTGTCCTCTCTCCTCTTCAGGGCCACTTGCTGCAGCCCAACACCCTAAAACGCACATATTGCACGCAGACATTCTAGGTAGGAAGTACGCTGTGGGTTGCAATAAGGCGGGGGGTGGGATGTGCTGTACTGCCCATAGTCGCACAGGGAGGCTTAGACGGTTGCTCTGTCTGTGGCCTGAGGTCCAATGACGAGCCGATCCAAGACAAGATCCTATTAATAAACACAATGCGCATGTGTCTCTGCTGTCGGTTGATTGTTTGGTCGGCGTTGCTGTCTGGCTGCTGCTGCTGCTGCGTACTTTTGACACCCGCCAGCGATCATTGTCTTGACCGGCACCGAATCTGGCCATGAAATATGATCAGTGGCATAAAGGATCAAATTGTCTCGATCAAGACTTGCAAGGCTCTAGAAGATGATCCGATAAGCTTTTCTCTTGAGGCGATAATATGGCGCTTGCGGCAATCCGATCAACGCCAAACGGGCGGGTTCCTGAAGATGGCAGCGCACGCTTTGCGGTCCAAATCTGTCTGTTCTCCTCGTTTTCTTTTTAGACGATGGGTATACCCGCAGATAGACAGATGACTGTCAACAAACATGCCACGCTACATACAGACTATGTACATGACTACATACATACACGTCTGGCCCCCCGCCTCTTCCCAGAGTTCTTGGGGGCGGTTTTTTCTCCCCTTTGGCTGCGTCGCAACGAGACAAAATGATGTGCATGAATCGGCAGCAGGCAGTGACAGCCTTTTTCCCATTCCTCTCACGTGTAGGCACTCGGCAACCGTGCTACCTGCGCTACGGATGTTGTGTTTCCCAAATGCTGATGCGCTGTAAGCGACGCCATTCTGGGCATTGGGCACACAAGGCCGTTGAGAGTTCCCAAACAGTAAAATACAAGTACCTGGCCCCGAGGCTTGGCGACCTCGTGCGTATGTAGTAGTATGTATGCAACCTGTGTGTGCCTTATGGACAGACAAGAATAATAATAATAATAATAATAATATCATATCTTTTTTGCGCACGTACGAGAATCGTCATGGTCCAACTGAAACCCCCAACGGCAGATGCAATGGACTTCACACTAACCTTAATAACTCGCGTCGGCGGAACGGCTCCATCCTACGGCACGTTCCATGTCGTTGGATGCAACTAAATACTACTTACACCATACACCATACTACTATAAGCACAGCACCGTTGTGTCTCGCTCGCTTCAAGCCCGACGACGAACTTCCCCAGATTAAGATACTCTGCTTTGTCGTGAGTTCGCAACTCGAGCACGGTCGCCTGACAAGGTATGCAGATGCGTACACGCTGTCGCTGACTACATGGCTGCCAAGCAACAAGTTCACACGTCCTCCACAGCCAGTCTTGGGACACGTGCTTTGCCATAGGCTTGCATTTCCGAGTATAGATAGATGGGCTCAGTCTCGTTAGTGGTGGTCAGCGGCTAACTTCCAATTATAGTAGGCCAAAGCCGCCTTCTGGGTTTGGGCACGTCGAACCGACCACGTATCTTGATGATTCGTTTCCTCTTCTTCTTTTTTGTCATCATGTATACATTTACTGATCGTCGTTTTGTGCGTCCAGACTGTCCCTCGGAGAAAGAGAGAGAGATAAACCATGAGGCTGATCTTTACTCAAAACTCAAAAACAGTAAAAGACCTTGCCGCTCTTCCTTGCAAAATGACCCTCGGCGCTCATGCACGGCGCCTAAAACATCCGGTTTTTCTTGCTTGCCAATACATTGGGGGTGGGAACCTCTGCGCAGTACCGATTCTGGATGAGCTGAGCATAGGGCCCGGCTTGTGTGATTATTGTCATCTGTGTCTGCGTTGCTTCTGCGTCACGTCATGCACGGCACATTTAATTCCATACGTAAGCACGAACAAAACAGACTGAGTGGCCCGCGGACCACTGGGATAGTAACAAAGTACTCTGTAGATACGTATGTAGAAATCCCGGATGTCGCGTGGCATCCCTTCGAGCGGCTCGAGTTCCGGGAGAGACTGCGTGCTTACAACCAACATAGACCCTTTTGTTTCTCCCTCACTTTTATTTTCTCACCTCTGTCTTTCACCCCCCAGTCCCATCTCAGCCTCCCCAGCGGGGACAGCCTTAGCCGCAACCTGGGGTCCTGGCCCCCAAAAATAGTTCGTCGTGAGCCGATTCGAGTATGTAGATCAGGCAGACTTTGCTCTCGACCTGCCTCGTGCGACTCTACGAGACCATGCGGATCGCTATCCTCGACGGCACGGCAAGCGAGCCGGGCGGGCTGTGGGGGAAGGATTAGAAAGTGTGGTTGCGGATGTGATATCCCCCGTAGGGTGATCCATTGGTTCCTGGGCTATTGTTGCTTGCCATTGCCTTCTCGTATTGCTTCCTTTTCGTGCCTTGCAGTAGGCGACCGTCTGCGCGCTGCTTTGAGATATATCTACCGAGGGTTGGTTTTGTCTCTTCCAGTAAACGCCCACTCCGCCTCCTTGCACCTGCATTCAAAGGAAGCACTCTGGCTTTGCTTTTGTCCCTAATTTGCCTTTTCATACGTGCAGCACGTGTGGACCTTCGGGCCGACCCCTCGTCTAGCCTTATGAACCGCTTGTTGCATACCTGCCTGTGATGCTCGCTTGGTTTTTCTCAATGCGTATCAACTGCCAGCACTCTTTTCCTTGGCAGAAGACTCCGGAATCTCGTCATATATGCATCCAGGTGTTGGACAAACCGAGTACATCCCGCGTTTCTGAGGTTCGATTACGCGTCAACGATGTATACTTAGGATCATTTTATGCCATATTTATCTCAAGACAAGCCCAAAACAGAACAGCCACGCCAATGTCAGGTTGCGAGTGTTCATCCCATCCAACAATAGCCTTTGTTAGTTGCCTTGATAGTGTCACCGAAGATCGCAGGTCTTTGTGAGTGCCGTGGCCACAGATCTCCGACTATGCATATGATTTCGGCTCTGCCACACGCATCCATATTCCTATTTTTTCTCTCTTTGTATTTCTCTTTTTTGCCACCATAGCACAAAGCTTGTGCTAGAGAAATACCAGAAAAAGCATTGGTCAATATTCATTTCCCGTGCCCTTGAGAAGGACCACGAACCTAGCTCCATATTCACGTTACATTCCCCAGCGCGGAACAAGCCGGAGGGCATCGCAGAGGGATCTATCCATCTGCTGGGGACGTGGGATGCATTGTTCCTCCCACCCCGGGTCATCGATATCCATGAGGATTATACGGGACATGCAAAAATTTCAAGATTCTGCGGGTCTCTGTGAACCCTATCAGGCAGGCCTTGAGAAAAAAAAAATGGGATCATGTTGTATAAGAACGCCCATTTCCCATCACCGGCACCGAACTACACCGTATTGGGTTGCATCGGACTCAGATTGGCAGTAGCAAGCAGCAGCAGCAGCAGCACATTTGTGGCGGACTATATGCGCAATCCTACAAGGCGTATTTCACCACGAGACATGGTAACGATTCATTTGTTGATTGGTCTTTGCCTAGCGGTTACCACCCTCCTTACTATTATCTCGACCGAGAATGATTTTATTGCCACGTGTGAGTTGGCTGGTTATAGCTCACCTTGTGGTTTTTTTCCCCTTCCCCAATTTGGAGAGAAAATATTGCTAAGCCAATCCTGTTCTCCAATTGATGCAACCTTGAAGCTCAAATTACGGGACCGGTGTATTGTGTGCCTCCAAATCTTTCTTTGGTATCCAACCATTTCGCTCAGCCAAAGTCTCAAAGTGAGTTGCCTTGAGCATGAAACGCTCTACTCTGCAGGAAAAATATGTAAGGCAAGAACGGTGATGGATCAAAAGGCCTGCTGAAAGGCCTTGGCTGCGCCTTGGGAACCCCGGGACAATCTCTGGCTCAAGTGCCGTGCATGTCGTGCGAGCTTCCCGGTTTTTGTCCTTTTTGATAATGTTTTATTTGCTAGATGAAATTGATGCACACTTGAATTGAGCGCAAGATGCCATGGGATGGCACACCCCTTCTTGGGTTACTCAGCTTACAAGCTCTTCTGTATACTCATACTTCCATGTGTTTCCCTCGCGATTCTCCTGGCTCTCATGTCGTCCCGTCCCCTGTCTCTGCTGCTAACCGCGGCTGCCGCATTGCTTGGCCCGGGGGTTGATGTCATCTTCCGATTGCCTCGTCTATCCCTTTATCTCTCAATCGAGCGAGGCTCTCGTTGCTAGTTGCTAGTTCCTTAGGGGCTAGGATTGAATCCGCGCGTCGCGTATATATAATGGTCAACTCATATATGACTTGACTGCCTCACGTGATCAGATTAGTGACCAAGTATAACATGTCATGATATAATCATATGATCCTCATGGATAATGCCCTAATGTTTAGCTATGGGTTACGGTCTATGACCACTTCACGTAATTTCACGTGGACCGACATGGATACTGCCAGAAGCATGAGACTGTTCAATAGTACTTATGTGCTGCCATGATGTATTCCAGGTACAGCACAGGACCTTTCAGCTGATGGCCTGACACTGATAGACCTGTGATTGTCATCGGCCAATTCATTGCAGCTCTCAATAGATGTATGGTCAAATAATAATTGACACACAATATGCTTCCGTGTCCCATTCCAGAGCAACCCAGCATACAGCATATCAGGCACTCAATAAAGAGACCGTTTCCAATCATCAGCAAGTCTTTTCTTACAGGGAATTTAATTCAACATCTGCTCTTGAGACAAAAACTCGTCGCCAAATACGTCAAGCAGCATATCTTGCTTATCATCCATGTAAGCAGTCCACCTGAGCAATACGGAATCGTACCAAGCTGCGTCATTACTCTGTCACATCGAGACTATGTCGAGACATCCTAGCCAATGGAAGGATAGACTATCGCATTCTTGTCCTCCATTCTGCGGCGACAACCCGCCACACATGATTAAGGAGTTGGAACTCTGTGTCGAATAATGTAGATTGATCACAATTTATTCTTCATGATTACCATGAAAGATGTAAGTATTTGATGATGAATCAGAAAACACCCCTCGAACCATGAATCACGGGTGTAATTCTTGGTTGTTGACTACTACATTGTGAAATCTCAGCTCGTTTCGTTCCTCACTTGGAAAAGACACAACCCATCGGGCAATCGTCTGGCACAGCATTGGCATGAGCAAAGTATAGTGTATCTTTCTTTTCACCGTCTTATGTATCGAATTTCGATAAATATGTTTGGAAGTGTAAGTATGATTGGGAGCGATAGCATGTATAATTGAACTGCAGCGTCTGGCACTCATGTGCTGGGCTTAGCTCAAGTCGTTTCAGTGAAGTATTCTATGTGGTTTTTCTTCATCACCTAGGTAGAGGTCTTGCAGATCTCAACTGCTAGCCGTCGCGGCGCCTGCTTTATCAATCTTCGTCGCGTTGCATCCTGCCCGTCGAACAAGTTTTCATTGCCCGACTAGATGATAACATCCGACAGCGATTCGTAATCCATTATTCCAAAACTTGATAGCCTTCTTCTGCAGCACTAATCCTTTTTGCCTTTTCCTTATCCTTTAATACTTGGCACATGATACTCTGTGACCACTCCTCATGACAGGCCTTGCTACAGGCAATCCTATTCATTGCGAACATGCTTCAGACTTAAGCCGGGCCCGCGGCGGCAGTAGCCGATGTCTTTCTACCGCGAGCTTGCGCAACTTCATCACTACCTTCAGACTCATCATCGCTGGGAGGACGGCTGACATCTGGTACCGTTCTGCGGTTCTTGGTCATCTGGGGGAAATGGAGTCAGTATACAAAGAATCAAAACGCAGTTTCAGTTTTGGGACTTACCCAGGATCTTACACCACCAATCAAACCAAGCGTGTAGCCACTGATGAATTCATTCGGACCTCTCTCTCCTGGCGTGGTAGGAGATCTGGCGGAAGCGCTGGCAATGGCAGCCACTTCTCGCATGCTTATGTCACCATTTTGGCTTTGTCCAGGAGTGCCGGGCATAGACAGACGCAAACTAGGGGCCGGGCTCTGAGGTCTGCTGGCAGGCCAGTATTGGCGCAACTCCCTGCTGAGTTCCTGCCCAGTAGTGGTCCAGTTTGTCCGGATGTTATCACGCAAGTCGTTAACGTGGCGCTTGAGATCTAGCTCGTTCTTTTTCAGCCAGCTGACGTTGAGCTCTTGACGCGAAGCGCCTCGCTTAAACTGTCGAGCAATGTATTTCTCGTAGTCGCGCACAATCCTGGGGGTTGGAATGTCAGTATGCTCTTTCAATCAATATAGCTGCATTGCAGAAGAGCATCACTTACTTTGTGATAATGCCAGTGGTGCTGACACCTTCAGTCCGTTGAGTGACCAAGAACTTGCCAGCCTCCTTGATGGGCTTGTAGATATCATCACCTTCATCAGCACCATATGGGATGTCATCATGGGCAACGTAGTCGATCTGATGTTCATCCAGAAACTCGGGGGTTACGATCCAAGGGCAGTTCTCGATCACTTCATCCACCCACTTGCAATGCCTGACAGTCTCTGCGCGCTCCATGCCCGACAGGACAGTAAGACCTTTGCGTCGATGTGTCTCCTCATCGCCTGTTACGCCGACAAGAAGATAGACGTCTGGGAAGGCTTTCTTGGCCTGCTCGAGCTGGCGCATGTGACCCAAGTGAAAGAGATCAAACACACCGTCAGCGTACACTCTGATGGGCCGTCCAGCGGGCGGGTCATTTGTCTTGTAGCCCACGGGATGTGTCAGTTTTCCAATGGGCGGCGGTGCCATGGTGCTCTCCTCCTTCCCTTCTTCTTGCACATCCTTGAAGGTTGCGTGCTTCTTGTTCTTCTTGGCAACGCGGTCAGCGATGTCGATGCTGGCCTCAGTCGTATCGCTGGGCTCGCCGGGATCTACGATCTGGTCGCCCGCCCCGACAGCGGTGGCGGCTGAGTTGTTGCTAGATCGCAGCCTCTTGGACGGATTCGAGGAGCTGCTGTTGGTGACGGATTCGACAGTCTTGCGGTGGGTCAACCGGCCGGACTCGGGTGCGGTAGTGTCGCCCTCTTCGCCAGAGGCATCCCGCGACGATGGCTGCAGCAGCTGATTCTCGTCCATGGCGGCGGCAGCAGCAGCAGAAGTGGCGGTAGTCGCACGCTTGCGCTTTGCGGCACCTGAAGAGCTTGCTGAAGGTGATGACATTGCGGAGGGCGCGTCGCGATCTAAAGCCCACTGGCTAGAAGCAGGGTAAAGCAGCTATGCTCCGGGTCGTTCTTGAAAGTTGGGCAGACTGGTCGGTCGACTGGCGAACGGTAATGTCGTAATTGACGCGTCGGTTCCCTTGCAGCTTCCAAGGTGCTGGGAAGCGAGAGACAGCTGGCACTTCCTTGGATGCTGCAGTTCCAAGAATGCAGCAGCGGGCAGGGGTGAGCAGAGTTCGGGAAGCTCGCACGCGACTGGTGGAGAGGACAGTAGGAATGACGGTTTGGGAAATCTGTCAGGTTTCGTTCGTCCTGGGTTCGTTTCGTTCCTTGGCCCTGTCGCGAATTGGGTTGCTGCTGGAAGAAAAGCGTAACACTGTTGTAAGGAACCTTGAAGCCCACAAGAGAGACGGACTAGTAGATTGTACAATTGCCTACTCAACTCGTGCGGATCAATTGCTCCAAATCGTGGGCTCGTTTCTTGTTTCAACGATAATGGGGAAACACTGGGGTCGGTCGTCGGCCAATGCGTTTTTCCCTCTCAGACTCTCCGCTCTGTGATGTAATAATCAAGGGATGGTCTTCCTTGTCCTTAGCGATTGGGAACACAGGTTCAAGTCGACCAACTGTAGTAGTTTCGGTGGAAGCTCAACTGCCAGGGCTCTACTGAATGGGCGGTGTCTCCCTCTCTTTCTCTCGGAGTTTGTTCTGTTCAATGTGTCGGCTAATGGAACTACTACTATACTCTATCTGTGAACGTCGCCGGAGGCAGGAAGGCAGGGAAGATTGCCGGTACAGTAGTAGCCGGTGCCAAGGTGGGTTTGTTGAGACTCGATGTGGGATGGGGGGAAAAGACGCTTAAGATGGGGAATTTGGAATGGGATGGATGTGGATGGATATGGGTCGCGTTTGCGTGATAAATGATTTGGATTGTTGGTCAACCAGGCACAGAGAAACAGCTAGAAATACCACAAAGTAATGTAGGGACCAAGAGTGAGTGATACTAGGTCCGAGAAAACCGAAACGTGTTTCTTTGTATGTAGGTTTGGAAGATAATGTAGGGAGGTTAGCTAGCAGGTTACCTCCAACCTTACCTCCTGCTACCTGCTTCTCCTCTATCTCTCTATCCGATGTCTCTCGTCCGTCCGATAGCAGATCTTACTTCTTTACCACTGGCTTATCGATGTGCTGCAGGTAGTCAAAACCCAGAGAAGAAAGACAAAGGAGGGGGCTAGACTGAGATCGCAGGACTCATTGGAGATTGCATTGTCCAAAGCCCAGGCCTTCATCATGCACACGTCCCGAACTATCATGATATACCCAGGGGTTTCATCCTTTACTTTTTCCGCGTCTTCCTGCTAGACCGCGAGCGCGTTGCTGCGATATGTCCTTGATGGGATTAGAATGGCGTCATTACATCAAATGTTAACTTAGTAGTCTGTTCACTAAATGGGTACCTTGCTAGCTAATTTAGGCATAAATGAATCCTAGGTCCTGGCACGGCCAATCCCAAGTTCGCGCCGCAAATCGAATAGATCAAGTAGAATGTAATGAGATCTATCGTAACTATTTTGAACCAAAGAGGCGGTATCAGGTCGAGCCCTGAGTGTTGTAGAGAATGACTTTGCTATTCAATGCGCTTTCACTAGATACAAACCCTTGGATATATGTATAACAAAAAGTTGGCAAGTAGATGATATAAAGATAGGATTGCAGGCTATGCAGATGTTCATAAAGGTATCTCTCTAGGTCGTACTGAAAGTAACAACCAATCTATCCGTGCTCCAAATATATACAATAGTCTTCGAATACGCTCATGATTCCGAAGGACTTCATTTGGTCTCATCCAAACCGTGAATGGGGATGTTGGGCACATAGTAATCGCAAGTGGCCGGTCGCCCAGACATGAAGCGCCACAGGCACATGCTTTCTCCAATGTCGTTCACAAAAAGCCCCGCGCAGACGCCATTCAACATAAACTTTATCCTACAGTGAGTTGACCCGTCCAGCAGGACAACTCTTTGTCATTCCTTTCCTCAGCATCTGCAGCAAAAGTCGCGACGGCTCTTGGGGTTGGTGTCACCCGAGCCCCACCGCTGCTACACTCATATACGACATTCCATACCCTCGTCGTCATGATTGCTTTTGACGCGCTGCTCCGTCGTTTGCTGGTGCGCCTCGTGGTGTCCTAGACCAATCGGACGGTGCGTTGCTGCTTTGTATGTCTTCCGCACCGGTGCGGGTGCCTCGGGGAGCTCCTGTAGCAATTTTTCCTCGCGTCGGCACCCGCCCGGGGGCCGAACTTTTGACGCACCTCGCAGTATTCATACCCGTTGCCCATCCACTCCTGAATGTGCTTGTGTAATTCACACCGCGAAACGCCGCACTTTCGGCAGTACACTTGGCCCCGGGGCAGAACCCTGTTGACTGCGTTCTCCTCGCTCTCGCCGTTGGCAATGAGTGGCCCAGCCAGGCGCCAAATCCACTCCATGTCGTTGGGTCCGGCCCGGCGGGTGGAAAGGGGAACAGTGCCACGCATGCGCCTGTGGATGTAGTAGAAGTGTCTGCTAGCAAGGCCGAGGCATGCGCTGTCCATGTCGTCGAGGAAGTCGAAAATAGCAAAATGTAGCTCCGCCGGGAGATGAACCAGTCGGAGCTTTTCGCCAGGCCGTTGTAGGACTGGTACTGGCACATAGTCCATGACCGAGTACGATCTCTGGGGACCAGGAAGCTCTGGCCGAGGAAGGTGCGCATGTAGTGCCGCGCTCGCCAGTCTGGACTGAATGGTAGAGGCCGCCACATTCGCGCTTGGTGAAAGGGGAGACTCTGCAGGTGTTCCAGGTATCGAAGACAGAGGAGTATTTGAGGAATTCGTAGGGACAAGAGAGAAGTAGGAATTGGGCTCATGCGGTCTCATTGCAGGCGAAGATACAGCCGAGCCGGCATGGCTGGACAGAGGGCTGGCGAGTTGGTAATCGTTTGTGGAAAAAGCCCGGCGTGGTGCTCGATAGTTGGTCTTCTTGAACTCCTTGCCCTGCTCCTTCCTCGCCTCTTGAGTTGAAGCAGAGACGGCTTCCGTCTCGTCAATGGATGCCAGCTTTGTCTCCGAAAACCTGGAAGTCATTCCTCCGACATCCATGGAGTTTGTGTAGCTCCCTCCCAATGACGGCGCCCGCATGATTTCAACCATTTTGGTGGTGGTCGGAGTAGATTTCTGCTTTATTTATAAAACTTCACCACCGCTCGAATCTGGCGCCCGTTTCACAATGTCGACAATATCGTACGGGTTGATGGCGCGTTTGTCGTAGAAACGGTTTTGTTGGCGCAAAACAAAACAATTGATTTATAATCGAAGCCGTGTTCCCTCTACGGAGAGCGCCTGAACCGACTTTTAATCAAGGCGCAGATGTCGTGTCTGTCACCTCGGGCGGTGAGATCTAGATACGTGAGAAATGGACGGGGGCGTCTAGGGCTGCTAGCTTCAGATGTGTCCAATGACGAGAAGTTTATCTAGATATATACTGGATCGTAGTTGGCCGAAATAACGTTGTCTAATGGTTGCGTTGGGAAGAGGGAGGAAAAAAAAAAAAAAAAAACTCGTGGCAGTGTTTAGTCGATAGCGCTACAACTTATATGCTAACACGAGTCAAGATGGTATTGTGACGCTGACACGAACTCAAGGGAGACACGATCGGTATATAAATGCCCCCCAGAGAGAGCCGAGGGTCTGCAACAGACGGCGAATTCGCAGCTTTCGTCTTGTGGGGGTCAAGCTATCCACTTCTACCATTTCACGGATTGCTCCGACCCACGAAAAGTCTGGAGATGTAGGGAAGTCTATGGACAGATCATCGTGTGACGGGATTTGTGACCAGCCAGTCTCGTAGGAAGATTATCCGGCATCTTGAGGGAAATCCTGGTCTGGGCAGCCATCTCTTGCTGAATACGGGGAATCGCAGCTGGATGCTGCTGCGAGTCGACAAAGATGGCGAAACTGACCATGCTGCCCTTCCAACGGGCGCGCAGCTCCGTCGTGGGTACTGGGCGACTGGGGCGTTCACGATGGGCCTCGTCCCTCTGGCAGACCCATTGTTTTGTGGCCGATCGACCCGCTTTCACTTGCTTAGCTGGCGATAGCGCGGACAGCAGCCTGGTGACGACATTGCCAATGCGGGTTGGCCTTGACATTCTCATTCTGGGGAATCACGGGATGCTGTTTGACATGTCGAGATCATAAACAGAAGTCAATCCATAACAAGTGTCAATGTAGCTTTCCTCGTCGAACACTATCTATATAATGGTATAACGAGCTGGTTTACCTTAGTTATGTAGTCGAGCTAAGCTAAGAAGGTTGCGTTGGGTCCCGCGGCTGTTCCGTCTGGGGAATACGAATACAGAACACTTTGGAAAGTTCATCTGGATATAGATGTGAAGTGACACATGGCATACTACCGGCAAATGTCTCCCGACGTGAGCCGAAAGCTTGATTGCTGCGTTAGTTGCCCATTAGTCGCACAAGACGAGGCATCACCCGTGTCGTTACCATATATAAGAACCCATATCTCATTCGAACAACACATCTCATCATGAAGAGAACCACCTGATGCTCAAAATAACGCACTGTTGAATTGTCGCACTTAGACACAGTGGCCGACAACCATAGCGGGAGATATCGAAGCGAGGAATGGTCAAGCCTCGGGCCATGAGCCTATCAAACATAACCATCTGCGTCATGCAGGGTCCAGATTACCGTCTCCCGTCACCTCCCCCCTTTGCCCGGACCGGATAGATCTTCCAGGTGACACCAAATATACAAAAGGACTTTTATACGCCTACTACCTCATAGTCCCGCTTTTGGTCTGTCATCATACATGACCTGCATTGGTGGGAATCTGATTAGGCGCAAGAACCGACAGTTATTCTAGAAGAATTTTTCTCTCTTAGACGAGAGTGTGCTGACTCGGGCGTTCAAGTGGCAAATGGCGGGGAACGCGATCTCCTGGGAGAGCCGAGTTGGTAACAAGACCCTGTTACGTACCAGCAGTATTCTTTTTGCGTTTGGCGATATACGAACTTTATAGGCAAAAATGGCCGCACCAATTTTCATACAGTACTGGTATGCCCAAATACTATCTGGGCAGCGCAACTGTTTAGTGTACGAATGTATTGGGCACGACCATGCATCGTCTCCCAAGGACGGCCACTCCGAGGACTACGAGGAATCTACATGCATTATATGCGATCCAATGGCCATGCCCGCATGCGCCAAGGTTATGAAAAGTCTTTCAATTTTGAAATCTTTGGTCTTGAATAGTCTGCCGGCACGGCAACCTGATGGCGGCCAGCTGCCCAGCGCTTTCTCTCTCTCTCGTCAAGCATGTGATCAAATGCGGATATATTCGCCTAGTGGAGGGCCTTGCTTGAACAAGTTGTGAGGCGCCCAAGGGAATAACCGACAGCAATGCCCACGGAGTTAAGCTGCCCTGCATTCTAAAACGCCGCAAACATTGACGTCAGGGATGAACACAATGAGCAGAGATGTCTTATCTCTTTGCGATTTCGTAGCCAATCCGCAACTGGAAATCCGGGGTAGGAAATAGAGTTTTTGTGTTGCCATAATTGATTCTTGCTCCACTTTCCACCCATGCAGCGACGGCGCACTCACGCTAGAAGATTTGCACAAGTTTACCTTCGTCACCAGTTTCCCATGGCAGGTAAAGAAAATAGAGTCAAATTAGTGATATATGCCTTATTAGTAGTGTGGCTTCCGTCTTTTGTCGGGCTTGCGATAGTTCTCATGTGGAATAAATATCATTGGTACAACTCGAAAATATTTACGAGGACAGCCTCTACTAGCTTGATGACAAAAGCCCAACTTCTCAACGCCGTGGTATCAAACTCGATCGCTCCGTCGAACGCGGTCCTCGGTACAAATAGTAGAGTTCACTACGCGTGAAGATCAAAATGTGCTTTTTGGAGCGTCTCGCGACAAAGTCGCATGCCCTCCTGACTGGTTGATTCTCCCCTCCTCACAAGCCCCAATGCTTGCCGTGTCGTGATGCATCGCAGATTCTCTCTTCAATCCCCAGCGCTTGACTACCATCGTAACAAACTTACGAGCTTTCAGCGCAGATCAGAGAACGACTCGGTCGAATATATTGTGTGGATGATCATCAGTGGCGATCAGTCTTTGGTAACCGTCCTACGACGGGCTCTCGTCTCTGGATGTTGCATCCTAGACAGCGATCCAAATGACGCTTACAACGACGTCCATTCCTTTGCCCTCACCGCCGTCGTACTTGAAGCTCCACATGCCATCCGTCTTCTCGTTCCAGAAGGCCTGAGTCGCAGAGTGCATGCCCCTGCGGCCAACGTGAGGCTTGCCGTCGGTGCTGGTAGGAGCGGCATCATCGCTGGTGCTGATGTGGGCATCGTCAGTCTTGATGTCGGAGCCGCCCTTGGGCTTGTTCAAGGCCGACGAGGGGACCAAATGCTGGACAATGGTCGCGTTGACGACAAACTTGTGCGCAGGCCCCTGGGCGCTGTTACTGCCAGACGGCGTCGACTCGGAAATGAGGGCCTTGAGAATCGAGTTGATGATGCTGGAGTTCCATTCCTGCACCTTGGCGTGCTCGTAGAAGTCAGCGCTGCCGATTGCGCTCTGGCAAGCCTAGAGACGAGAGATGAGGGTTAGCGATTCTGGTCGGATGTTCTGGCACAGGCAGACTGCGCTGCACGTACATCCTGAGCGATCTGCTTGAGCCGCGTCGAGCTGATGGGTTGCGAGGACATGATGGGTGATGGATCGATTAGGCGTAGTTTATTGAAAGAAGTAAAGGTAGATAGATTGGTAGGTCGCGAAGGTGGAATTTCAGGTAGTAGTTCAGGGTACGAAGCTTTCGTTCTTGACCAGTTGCTGCTAACAAGTCTCGTTTTCCCCCGGGGCTGGTGGGTAGTAGCCTTGTCCAGCGATTGCGGAGGCGAGATTCAATTGGAGTGGGGAAAGAAGACGCTGGCAACGCTAAGGCCCGAGAGAGATCAGGCGTTGTTGTTTTTTTGGTATCTTTACTATTGGCTGGAATTTGAGATGGGGATAAAAATGCGATCAAGGACCTGATGCTGATCCTAGGAAATGATGGTCGTTATGAACGAGCTTTGGAAGAGCAGATGGTTCAGTGGTTAGTGGTGATCGGTAATAAGGTAATGTTGCTCGAGAAGCATCCATATCCTTAGACACGCACAAGGTAATGTAATCTGTAGGTATGAAGGGTTTCTGGCTGGCCCGGACCCGGCCGCCGCCTTGTTCTCAGTGCACCATATTGCTGCACCTCCCTGGAACATCCGAGGGGTGTCCAGGTGGGATCAATCAGTCCATGCTACCAACATGAGGTGTTAGGATGTTCTAGAGATGATTGAACAAGCAACTGTCTGGTCCCGTTGAGCGTTTCTTCCGTTTCAACTAGCAATTCTATATTCTTGGTAATTAGTCAACAAAGGAATAGTGACATGTGCCTGGAGTGCACGGAATAAATGTTTCATTATGTCATCTCAACATCTCAGCTTGCTCAAATTGGTACGTGGGTAGATAGGCTGGTAGGTATAATCCACACTGCACTGCATAACAAAATGACAAGATCCAGAGGCGCTGCAATTGCAGGGCCCATATCACGTGTAGCTACCCAAAAACGGGACTGACCCTTGCGCTTTTCCAAAAGCTGCATTGGCCAGTCAGGCCAGTCAAGCTGGAACGTGCTCTTTTGCTTTGTTTTCATTTGTCTTGAGGCTGTCGAAATCAAGTGGATGGCTTTGGTCGGCCAATCACAACTCGTCGCTACTCCCTGGGATACGTACATTCTGCCCATGAGCTCCCCGCCAAAGCACCGATTACCGACCTGGCTCGCATCACTAGGGCGGGCGGGAGGACAGCCGCTGCTGCTGGTCGTTGCTGTGTGGTCAATTGTGAAGCTTTTTACTAAAACAGAAGTTTCCCACTGCTGTCGACAAACCTCTGTCGTCGTCATTCGTTCATAGCAACCCTCTCTTTTTCTCTTCTACCTCGTTCGTCCGGCTAAAGTGAAGATTGAACGATTATACATCGTGTTGGAAGGCGACCTCATCAACATTCATCTGGATTGGAACGTATATTGCTGCCCGCCTCGGCCAAATCGATAATCTTCGCCCGCAATAAAAACAAACAAGACTCGCTAGCCCAACGTCATCCTCCTACGAGCCGCGCTGTCAACTCTTTACAGATAACAACCAGCCGATTCACCGATCTTGCATTCAATATGTCTAGCCAGCCTCTCCTGCAAACTGCGCCGGGTAATTTTCCCTCCAAAAGTCCCTCGGATACGTAAAAGCTGCGATGTTTATTTGTTCATCGATGCTGATTGTTCGTGGGTGGCATACAGGCAAGCGTATTGCGCTCCCGACTCGCGTTGAGCCCAAGGTCTTTTTCGCCAATGAGCGAACCTTTTTGTCATGGCTCAACTTCACCGTCATCCTTGGAGCGCTGGCCATTGGCATGCTCAACTTTGGCGACCGGCCCGCCTTTATCTCGGCCTTCCTCTTCACCGGCGTGGCCATGCTCACCATGATATACGCCCTGGCGACATACCACTGGCGTGCCAAGAGCATAAGGCAGAGGGGCCAGGCTGGATTCGATGACCGCTTCGGTCCGACCATGTTGGCCATTGTGCTGCTGCTTGCAGTCGTGGTCAACTTCGTTTTGAGGATAATCTACTCAAATGGCCAGGGTGGAAAGAAGAACTAGGGGGCATTGGATCCGAATTGTGCCGCGCTTTCTCACTGCAAACACAAATAGCAAAAATCCAAGCCAGCAGACATATAAGATGGGAAGCACGCGCGTCGGCGCAACTTGTAAGCCGCCAGTTACTGGGAGGGCTCAACCGCCGCTATCTTCCGCTGGGATGAGCGAGAGAGCATAGAAGCGGTATCTGTGCTTTTACAAAACGAGGGAGACTGCAGTACATACGGTGTCAATAAGGTGCATATTGAACGAGCAGCAATGCTCCGGGACATTGGCGTGTATGAATTCAGTATAGAATTGGTTGTGTACATTACTATTTGCATCGCATCCGTCTAGATAGGAGTTACTCGTTGATATTGATGATAATTATACTACCAGGGACATGGCAACTACTTTGTTCTTCAGGAAGCGTGTGGTCGACCTTCTATACTTTTGCATTGTGTCTTTCACTGTGCAAAACTGGGCCAACCTTCCCTATAGGCGGATTCGCTTGATGGCATGAGTCGACACCCGGCCAAGAATAATCCTTCAAACGTAGAGCCTATGAGCCGTCATTCAGACGCAGTCTTTTCAATGAGCCAATGCCTGTGGCTGCCGTGAACTGCTACTCATCGATTGGCCCTCCGTGTGAGTTGCCGAATGATATGCTGGATCATGTTTGGGCATACCGAGCCACGGCTCTTGGTAGATCTCATCGCTTTGAGGCGCAATATGATACATGCCGATGTCAGATAGCTGTAGAAAGTCTTGACATTCGATGCTTATTAGTTTTTCAACCACTGTTCCTCCATTTGTTGCGCTCATGTCTTTATCTGGGTTGAACTCGTGCCGCTTTGTTCGCTGAATCTTCGCTTCAATTCCTCGACCGAGGCCCGAGATAGAAACAAACTCATGATAGCGACTGCATGCTTCTTCGGCTTGCCTTCGAGTGCTCGCTCAAAGGGCGTCTTCATGTACTCGAAATCGTCCTCCTCATCCTCTTCCGGTTCGTGATTGTTCGATTTATTGCGTCCATCGAGTATTGTCTCTTCGACAATGACGGGTTTCTCCCTGTGCGTCTCCTTGATTTCTTGCCCAAGTGCGATGTACTGAAACCAAGCCCCGTTCTCGTGTGCCGCCACTTCGCGTTTCGCAATTTCAGCTATACTGACAAGCTTTCCTGCGACGGCAGCAGCTCCTTTGAGTACGACGATGCGCTGCTTACCCGACACGAGGTCGGCATCGGCGGGGGCAGATTCGCTCAGGTGGCGCAGAGCGGAAATGACCTTTGTCTGGATCTTGGTCGAGGACACGATGGAGTGGACCTGTACGTCGTACTTGGACTCGACCGCCTCGAGCGCTCTCCGGTCATCGGGCTGGCTGAGGCTGAGATCTGCTGCCAATCGGGCTCTCTTGTTCGGCGGTCGACGTGCGCTGGCCGTTGTCTCGTCGGATGCCACGCGCTTGCGTTTCTCTTGAAGGGGCGCGCGCCCCTCGCTACTTGCTGAGTCCTCGGCTGGCATTCCCTACGACATGAAAAGTCCCGAGGTAAACCCTGTGATGGATTCTCTCGATTTCTTTTTCAGGCGTCGCGCACTATTACCTGTCACTCTGCGCGCTGCGCTGCGCCTATTTGATCAATGATTTATAATAGAGTGCCCGGGATCTGGTTTGGTGCTCGAAGCTGCGATGCAGGTGAGCTCCTGCGTCAGAATTTCGATTGTCCGAGCCTTATCGGCATTATCGATAAGAGCGACGGATAAGTTAATGGTTTCGATATGTGTTGACTATGAATTCCATGTTCACGTGCCTCAAATCGCAACCATAAATTGCCTATATGCAGATTTGTTTCATGGATATTCTGTACAGTCATAATGAATGCTACAAATATAACTACTTACTACAACAGCGACAAGCAGTTCAGGGCTTCCCATTCCGCCGCCGTTCAACGTATGCTCATTACGCATGTGATTGGGCTAGACAGATACGAGGCCGGCTAGGACTATGAGGAAGTGATGAGAGTCTCTCATCTTTTGATACCATTATCACTCTCAACCCGTACATGATAAAGCTCAGTAATAGGCGTTCAGAGTCTTGACAATACGTAGTTTGCTTGTTTGCTCTGTACCAGGCCGCATCTAGAAGCGATACTGTGTAAATTGTGACAGGGATCTAATGCACGGGCCACGAGATCTGACGCATGAGTCACCAATCTCGCGCACTGATTGGAGAGCAGCCCGGATGCTATATCCCTGTCGCCTTCATGCAGTGCGTCGCCCCGGCTCTAAGCCAAGATGTTAGGCGGATATCTTGATACGGTCGTGCTCGGATCTTGGGCACATTCCGATTCGCACCCCTGGAGGCGCGTTTTCTACTGTAATGTTGAGCTTGAGGATGAAGAAAATCGAGAAATACTACAGCTTGGTGCATGTCTCGCGGCTTCTTCTTTGTTGGCTTGACAAAGTCTCAGTAACCGTTTCTTTTCATCACATTAAGCCGGTGTCTAGTTAGTAGGCTGCATGTGGATTTTACAGCTTCGGCACATACGATACGTCAAGTAGTATCCATATTGAGGCATGATGCTGTCGTGATGGAGGTCGATGAAACGCTTAAAGTTCGACAAGTTCAAACTCTCAACCTTGGAGTTTTGGTCTTCCTGACAAGTCCTCATGCCATAAGGCTATACATTTCCGACTATTCTCCAATACTACCATGCGAATCACGACTCGAACAATCGACTTGCGCAAACGAGCTTGGGGTAGTCTGATAGGGGAACACTTCCAGTACATAGTAAGGCGAAGCCATTCACTCACTATATTAGTACCATATCATGCATAGAGCAGCAGTATGGGTGTCGCGCTAAGAAAGGCTCCAGACTGTCTGAAACAGCCTCCACCTATTTTGTCTGCCTCTTTCGATAGATGAATGTTACCTCGACAAACAAATGTAGCTTTACAATACGGAAATAGGTGTTCTCTTGCATAAGAGGCCCATATATCCACAGATGGGAACATGGCATTATGAGCCAAGTCAGAGCGTATCGCAATCTATTGGCAACGTTGACGGTGTTTTGGATCAAGACAACGCTCAAGCAATCGCCCAAGTCTCTATTTTCAAGCTGCTGCTAGATATTCTCCTACTTGCCTTTAGTTGTCGATAGTGCTAGTCCGGTCCATTATGAAGTAACTGCTTAGCCGTGATGCAATCGCATAGTACTGCGCTCAGCTGGCCGCTAAAAGTTAATCTGTTCTGGGGGTCAACAAGTTGTTTTCCCGCTCCACGGATGTCGCGTCCATCTTTGCGTGTAGGCAACGTTTGGTAGCCCAACAGATAGAAAGGTTAAGCTCAAAATTCGTCGACCCGAACCGTGAAGTGTAAAGAACTAATGTCTATTGCACCCACGAGAAGAAGAAGGGGAAGGTGACGAAGGGAAAACAAATATCATCTCTCTAGATCATGTTTCCTAAACCACTGCTCTTCTTGAAGTGCTTACTGCCCAGCAGTACTACTGACAGACTACTGTGTATAGATTGATAACATATCTACCCCACGGACCTCTGCAGTGTTCGTCACATTCCATTTTGATCGCCCACCCTTGCGGATCGAGATATTCCTAGACTTTTCCTAAAAGAGTTATTCATCACATTGAATTGGAGATTACACCATATTGCGACTGGGCAACCATCTCGCATCTTGCCACGATCCTACCTAACCTGGGTAGTACACAGAAGAAAGTCCTTAGAAAAGTAATGTACCAAAACCTAGCACAACAAACGGCAACTTGGCAACTTGGAGCATTGAAGAAGCTTTTGTGATCTTCCACGCACTGAACCCAACGTGGCGTGTGCAACACAGCATTTCACCTTGTTTCTAGAGAACGGACGGCAGCAGCATTCTATATACCCTTGATCCAAGCCTTGCGCACAATGAGGACAAAATTGATGATAGGTATTGAGTACCGGAATATAATTCTCTTCCTGGTAGTGCAGCAGTAGAACACCCACACACCTTATCCTGTATGGGATACATGCAGACAGACTCTCATCAGCAAGCATCGTATCATAGTACACCTCCTCATGGATTATAAACGTTAGATCGTTACAAGCCCCGTAATTGAATCCAGCGATCTGCTGCGTACTCTGTCATAATATTTGTGCTGGCCAGTACTGGCTGTTACTGAGGTTCTTCGTCTGGTACCCACACCAGGTGCTAGAAATTTCTATGAGCCGTATAGCACCATAGAACAGACATGGGAAGATACCAGGCAGATCAAAGCAAAGAAATATGGGGCTTGTACCAATCTAACGTTTATAATCCATGAGGAGGTGTACACACGGCGGACGAATACGCGGACCCATTAAAGTCGTGTCTGACAGGCCACCCCAACTGCACCGTCTTTGCGTTGCTGGCTGCTGGAACACTTTTCGGGTGCGCTAGGAACCACTTTCGGCACCCACCCCCCCTTCTCTGCATTTATTGTGTAGAACACCCCCCACCCCCCCTGATGCCCAGCAAGCAAACCCAGCCATTTTGACCAAGGTCTGCTCTCTTTTGGCCTTGTTTTGATTGCGTTGCTTGTTCACTGCCTGCGCTTCACACCATCAAGAATCAGTTGGAGCCAAGACCTGGAACTGGAGTCATTCATTCATTCAGTCAGCAGCGCAGCGAGCGTCGTTTTGGCTGCACCCACCCCCCAAATTTGTCGGACACCCCGTTATATCCCTCCACAGGTTTTCCAATTGTTCATCCAAGGGCAAGGAAGGCAAGGAAGGCAAGGAAAAGGATCGCCCCCGGCAGCAAGCCGTCCCTCCAAATCCACGCCAGTCGCAGCGCGCGCATCGCTCGCATATCCCATCTCCTCCCTCCCTGAATTTATCCCCATCGCATCCATTGCACCCTAAGTCGCCAGCCCAGGCCAGCCCAGGCTACCGTAACGCTTTGCACTCACTCCCTTCAACACGTTGGCAAAACAATCTGTGTAGTCAATCGTCCGCCCATCCCATCCAGTCCCCCCGAACTTCTCTTGTTCTTCCACTGCACCCTCTATACCCGGCCCAAATCACCACCGGCCGCGACAAACGACCAAGCAAAAAAAGATCAACGGAATTTTTTTTTTAATTCTTTTTTCTTCAAACGCATTCCTTTGGCCGAGCTTCAAATTGCCGCTTTGCTGCCTACGCCTGCCTTGTGTCGCATCACTTTTTGGTTTGCGACAGCACTTTCTCCACTAATCGCGCCCGCGCGCATCTTCTAATACAATACATACACGATTTACGAACTCTTTTTAATCAACCCGCCTTTTGGCTTTCTAGAACAACGGCGCATTCATATCGCCGTCATCTAGGCATATATTCCTCGCAACGTTTTGAGGACTATATCTGTCCTGAGTGCCTGTCTTTTGCGCATTGCATCGCGTCGCAGCAGTGCATCGTACCCGAACAACGGCCAAAAACTTCTAGCCACGCAACGGTATTCACCGGCCTTGGGCGCAGACTCTCCCTTTTTCCTTTGCGCAATCCGCTCAGTGCAAGCAAGGCAAACAGCAAGCAAGCGCAGGCCGTCGGCAATCATTCGCCATTGTTCGCCCAAGCGTTGCATGTGCACTGCCCCCCCTTTTTTGGGCGCCCTCTTGTGCACCTCTCGCATTCCTTTGACTTCTAGGCGCCACCCGGTTGCTTAGCCTGCACCCACACTGCCCTGACTCAAACTGAGTTTGGTTGGGTTTGACGCTTGCCACATCAGCGCCCAGCCAAAGCATAAGCAGTCCACTATCTGCTGTTCTCTGGTTTTGAGAGGAGCAGAGAGTCCTAACCTAAGGTATTCCATTCCTTAGCACTAGTCTCCATACCCTTTCACCTTACTGTTCCCTCCCCAACCCGGGGCGGAAAGAGACCCAAGTTTCCCCCCAAGCCAGCAGCACCCTCTCCCTGGCACTCGCTATCTATCTAGCGCAAAGTCGCACCACTCCCTCGCCGATCCTCCGATCTCATCCCCTTCCACCTGCAGAATCCGGACCTTGTTACGTCAGCCTCGCTCTCTCCCTTGGGTTGCACCTCCCACCCCCTTACGTCCCAACGCAGCATATCGACTGAACCTTACTGTCGTCTGTCTGGTTTTACTTCTCAGTTGCCTAACTGCATACTCAATAGATATTTCCTACTTCGTAGGGAATGCTCATGTTTCGTTTTTGGGGCTCAGAATCAAGGGGAAGCGACACAGCTGTTCAGGTTGGTCAACCCACTTTCGAGCTTGGCAAGTCCGTGCATCCGTTCGTGTCCGAGACAGTTACAGTGACGTCGCCTGCCCGGCCACCCAAGCGCCGGCGGCCGACTGACGCGCCCATCGCATTGTCTACTGGTACTCTCGCGTGCCCAGCCGTGAAGCGTACAAAGTTGGAATATGATGGTTCTGCTATCTCGCCAAAGAAGGAAACAACTTCGCTCAAGAAGGAAGACGTAGCGCCCGTGGTAGCGCCCGTGGAAGCGGAGGAGGGCAAAGTGTCGCAGTCGTCGGCGCCCAAGATGTCAGCCAGGCTAGAGCGCGCAAAGGAGGCAATCGAGTTGCAATTTAGTCAGGAAATTTTGCTCAAGCACCATGAGCACCGTCTCGTCGAACAAGAGCTGGCTAAATGCCAAATCGCCATGGAGCAGCTGCGTCGATGCCATCTCATACCGTATCCAGTCAACGTTCCAACGCCAGAGCAGATGTTGATTGTTGCCAGCGGCCAAGGTCCAGCGCTTCAACCCAAGACTGGTGCGCATGTGCCTCAGTGGGCGCCGCCTTTTGGTGTGACCGACGGCCCTTACGCCCGGCATCTTGCCAAGTGGCTGATTCCTGACCCCAAGTTTGACGGAATTCCGGCTCCAATCCTAGTACATCCCGAAAGTACTCGAGCCAGGCATTCTGTTGAGTCACGGTCCGCAATGCACATGGCTCACGAGTTGGGCGTGGCCCCGAATAAGAGTCGACGAAGTCGCGAAACAGCTGGTCAGAAGCTTCACGCGTTGCCCAGTGGATATTCGCAACCCAAGGGCAAAGCCGGACCGTGTGTTTTGAAACGTGCCGCCGATGGCAAGATGGTCAAGCTGGTATGCGTCACGTGCCATCGAGAGGACTTCTCGAGCACTCAAGGCTTCATCAACCATTGTCGTATAGCGCACAAGCAAGAGTACAAGAGCCATGAAGAAGCAGCTGTTGCTTGCGGCCATCCAATCGCCGTGGATGAGACAGGTGGTGCCGTTGGTGCCGTTAATGCTCCAGCACCTGTTGTCACCCGAGTGCCAGTAACAACTGCTCCTACTCGCCAGACAGTGCGTGACAATGCTCTGAGCTATTCAGATGCGTGTTTCTCGGTTGTCAAGCGGATTGAAGACTCGATGGAGGCTATCCGAAATGCTGACTCAACAAAGACCCCAGCTGCAAGCCCAATGTCCAACGCGAATTTCAGGTCTTCAGCGGCTGCTCCTAATTTGTCTGAACTAGCGAGAATGAAAGGTAGTGATGTGGACATGGCAGAACTTGTTCGCGACGCCACAACCAAGATTGACCTGGATGCCCTCTTGTATGCTGAGGATGAGTCGGATGACAGTGACGAAGAGTTGCTTGGCGTAGCGGACACTCGGGACGATCCGACCCCTTTGGCACTGTCTGGCATGCGCATGCCAAAGCCGGTGTCCCCAGTGCCGCCTCCTGTCCTGCCCGGTAGCATTCGGCCAACGAGCAGCTCTGGTCGTACACCACCTCTGCCTTATGTCGCGCCCATTGCTACGCCTGCCTTGAATCTGTCATCGTCAGAATGCTCTGAAGAAGACCCCATGGATCTTGACCTAAGCCCGAATACTGCCATCAGCAACAACGCGCCGTCACTCGTAAGTGACGATGACGACTACGATGACTCGGTTGATGGCTCAGGTGACGAATCGGATGTTGATGATACCCTCGACTCTCAGTCCGTGACTGACGTCGCCGAGATTCATTTTGATGATGAAGGGTCAAGTTCTCTTCGTCACCCGCATAGCTCGACGAGTGGTCCGTCTGATCCTATGCAATTACGGAAACAGGAGGAAAAACACGTGACTTTCATGACTCCGGTCAGAGAAAGCTCAATTCCCACGACACCAATGCACAACGGACTCAAACGCAAGAACAGAATCTAAAGCCAGCCATTCATGAAACACCACCGTTCCTCTAGATAACAGTCTTCACTTCTCTTGCATACACAGTCTGGAAGACAAGACTATTACTCATTACTTACTTTATTACCGGCTGCTGTCAGATACTTTCATTGACGTCCCGGAAGACTTTTGACGATGTATTGGATGTGTCTGTGGGTATGAAACCCCACGAGAGACGTGGACATGTCTCGACACTGAAATCTGGTAATAACAGATGGCAGCCAAGACTAGGGAGAAGGTTTGCGAAGAAGAATACGTCAAGGCCAGGAGATGCTAGAGACCCGAAAGTGCCCTGGGCTGTGTTTGAGCAGTTTTGTAGAATTTAGAGTTCATTTCTTATATATCGCCCAGGGCATCAGGGGCCGACGCGAAAGGACGACAGAGAAGGCTCTCTCACGCACACACGCACAACACTTCATCGCATGGACCTCTTACTCGCAGGCTTGAACGCTGTGAGGGGAATGCCCATGTCTGGAGGTTGAGATTGATCCTGCCTTCTATGTAAATCACATTCTACATGCGCATCATCCGTTCTGCGGAGCGCATTTTCATGTACATAGGCGAATGCCAGAAAACACGAGTGTTGTATGAAATAAACGAATCCGTTTGTTCCCGCTTTGCTGTGATAATTCCAACCATTCTCATTATTTGGTGTTCTATATCTCCTATCAAGTGCTGCTACTTCGTATCCTATTAAATACCTAGGCTTTGACCAAGAAAAGGGTGGTCATTTGCCTCTCAGTATGGAGAGCAACAAGCTGTATTTTCTTGTTGGGAAAAGGGGCCAGTGTTGAGATCCCCCGAGTCTCGAGTATTCCGCGATTAAACAATGTTAACGCCAGGTTTCATCTTTGTCCGGAGGGGATCCTTTACTTGTGCTATTGACACTCATATCCTTGTGCCACAGATTAAGTCAGTTCAGTTCATAATAGAAGTACTCCAGTTGAGAGAAATCCATGTTCGTTTCCTGCAGCTTGAATGCTCGCACGCCTGTCTTTGCATCCACACCTGACTGGCCAATTCACTGCGCCGTATCGGAATACTTTAGGAGTAGGGCGTATCTATATACATTAGGCTCGTCGGAGCCTTGTGCTGGACCACAAAAGGAAAGTAGGAAAGAAACCCAATAACAAATATAGCATCAAGGACTGTATCAATGAGTCTCTATTCTTGACCGAAACCCATTGTCTCCTCGACAGCAATGGTCAATTTTTGTTGCAACGCTTCCAATGACTTGTACGGTGGTAAATCCAAACGATTGAAGCTAAATATATGTCAGTACGAGGCTTTCATTCAAAACAATATGGAAATGGCATACCAAGTATGTGCCTTTGGCAGGTTACCGACTTCCCCAGCCTTCTCAATAGTAAACCGCCTTGGGCCATCGCTACCCTGCAGGTCCTTGAAACCATTGACAGGTATACGCGAAGTGCCCGTCGCGAACTGCAATAACCTGCTCTTTTGCTCGCCGTCCCAGCTTCGAATGGTTTGCCAGAAAAATTGAATGACTTCGTCGCTCTCGGTGTATCCACGGTAGTCCGTATGTTTCTTCCAGTCGTCGACATCGATCTCAGCGATACCGCCAATCAACAATTCCAGTTCGCGCTCATCAAACACATTCACCAGGTCCTGTGGAATGAGTTCATGGAAGCCGTCCTTAAATGCCTGAAACTGTTCCGCAATGCGCTTCTCAATACGCCACTTGACCATGAGCTCGACATATTCCTTCTTGTTCTCATTGGTGACCTCGATGTTGCGTCCATCCGGTTTCAAGTCCTCCACAGTCAAGACTCCGAAGCGTTCATCTTCTGTAGAGAATGTCTGCTCAAGGATACCGCCGGAAATGTCGTTATCGAGCATCCACTGCAAGCTGCGGTGGAAATCTGCATCCACACCCTCCATGTCCTGTAGTGACACAGGCTTGCCCAGCACCATCTTGTACAAGGCTCCAATGAAGAAGGCATCCAGGAATCGCCGATGGAAGATGGCCAGTCCTACAACGCGCCCAATGAACTTGAAGTAGTTGAGATGCTCGGGGTTGATGCCCGAGTGGGGGTTGATTTGAAGGGTGTAGTTGTCGTGGGCGGAGTACTCGAAGAGACAGTAGAATGGATTAAACATTTCATGCGACAACAGGAAGAAGAATTCACGGGACAAACCACCATAATCCAAACCATCTTCGCCATCAAACTTTATCATCAATCGCTTCTTCAGGTCGGTGGCAGATTGTCGTGAAATCTCGGCAAAAGAGTCCTCGAAAATATGCGATCTTCGTACCTTGATGTGGCACTGGCCCGACAGGATACGCATGGCGGGCTGAGAGCGGAAGTAAATAAGCTTCCTTCTAAAGTCTCGCTTGTATTGTGGAACATTTTGATCGAGCGAAGACGGCAGGCGCGGATCGTCCCATGTAGTCGTCTTCGTATTGTGATCCACGAAGTAAACACGAGCTGTGTTGGTGAGACGCATTTCCCAGCCGCTAGGGAGCGGGCCAAGCTGGGAAACGGGTTGCTGTTGAATGGTCCCGTTGGCATTGTTCTGCCCGCCATACATTCTGATATATTGCTGGCGGCGCGGATCAACCCATGTGGTGGTTCGCGTGTTGTGGTCCACAAAGTAGGGACGGCCCTCGGGAGTCCATCGTTGTTCCCACCCTGGAGGGAGCTCGCCCGTACCAGGAGTTGTTGCACCCGTGTGCATCATTGTCGAGTTAGCGCCCTGAGCCGCGGCGGAGGCGGCGGCAGCGGTTTGTTGCTGAGGCGGAGGCTGTTGCTGGAGAGTAGGCGAGCTCGTGCCCGTGCGATCTTCAGGGAGTGTGCGGTTCTGGTGACGCTGGCGTTCGACCTGCGTGGCAGCTTCACGCTCACCACGGTTCTCACCACTGCTTGCCTGAGTAGGGCGATTCCAGCTGGTCGTTCGTGTGTTGTGATCAACATAGTACGTTCTGCCAAGATTGTCCTCGCGACGCTCCCATCCAGCGGGCAAGCGACCCTGAGAATCTTCAAACGGACTCATCTGACTACTGGTTCTCGGTTGCTGCTGTGTGCTGCTGTTGCCGTGGCCCGGGGCTGGTGCTGCCGTGACGCTATTAGGTCGCACAGGCAGGTTTGTCTGGCTTCCCGGAGCAAGATTGCTAGGTCCTGATGAGGTCGGCCGGTCTGCATGGCGGTCGCTCAAGCTTGACGCCTGGGGCGTTGCTAGCGATGGCCTGGCACCGTTGGCTGGGGGACCCTGTTGTTGCCGCGCCGGAGTCGTCAAGTTGGTCGACAAGTTGATAATGAGCTTACCATGGACCACCAGGTTATCGGTGGACTTCTTAAGATCCCGTGTAAGCATCTGGTCTGACAAGCGTGAGTTAGTTAGTAGGGTATCAACACGACTGGGCGATATCGTCGCATACCATCAGCACCATCAGCCAGCTCGATAACGTCACCAACGCGAATGTTGATGACACCCAGGAAGCCTTGGTCCTTCTTTTTGAACTTCTTCTGGTCAAAAACCTGGACTGCCAGAATGCTGTCTTCGTTGGCCCGACTGTAGCAGATTGTAAGCAGTCGTGCGAGAGAGAATGTCTAGAAATAGGGAGTCCTCATACAAGTCAAAACTTTCATTCCAGTAGGGATTCAGCGTCCGCTTCGACACCGTAGTCGTTTTAGTCTGCTCGCCATTGATGGTAGCAACAGCGAAAGGATCCGGGAAGCCTGAATGCAGTTGTATATTAGTATCTACGGCTAATGGTTCTGATGGGGGGAGGCATGTCGGCCCTCGCGGTGGCAAGTACGTACGGAATACATCTCTCTTGTACAGACCGTCAGCTGCGATGACTGTTGTCGATGCTTGTCAGTAGGATATTCTTCATGACTGGAACGATGACGCTATAGCGGGATCTCGTCGGATTATGGAGGGGTAAGCGTACTTGTGATCCGTAGGTTTGCCTGGCTATAGTCCATATCTGTTAGAAGCTGTACATGAATTTCGAGAGAGGAGCAAGCACAAAGCATTAAAAGTAAAAGAGTACTCACGATGGCAACCCAGACTCTGAGCGGCTGGCAGCCATGGTGGCGGCGGGAGACGAAGATCGTGATGTTGACGGCTCGGGGGGGTCACTACTCCTCCTTGGATCGCACCTCTCAGTGAAGCGGCGCCAGAGGCCGTCCTAGGGCCTGGTTCTGGGCGCTACCCTTACGCCTCGGGGAGGTTTTGAAGTCTGAAGCAGTGAATGATTTGATGCGATGCGAGGCAAGGCGATGCGATGCGCTGCGCCGAAAGGAAAGGGGTGGGAACAGCGAAGCCCAACACCGATATGCGATTGATCTCTAGGAGAGAATGTGGGTGAGTTTAGTTGAGTGGGTGAGTGTTTGTCAGGATTGTCTCGTGCAGAGAGGAATGGAAGCGAAACAGGCGGCGAAAACCGTCCCGAATGAGAGATTCTACCTACTACTAACCACAACCTGACCTACCACTGTCAACCCGCTTAGTCCCCCTCGAGTATCGCCGACCCCGATGACTTGGGTTAGGTTGGTTTGGTGCCGACTTCCTTACGGGCTGGGTAATGCAGTTTCAGCGTCTCGGGAGGCCTGTAAAGGTAGCTCCAACCTGTCTGAGAGAAAGCGCTTGCAGGCAGGTTGGCAGACACCAACCTGGAAGCGGGGGCTTGGGCACTCTCTATCCGGGTAAGCTGGGGTTCCATTGGTCTCGTGTGGTCAGCACTCTCACCCTCAGGGAGAGAAAGAGACGCTGCTGGTGGATGCGACCCCCGTCCCCTACCTCAGCTAGTACTGTAATGTAGTACCTTAGCTGGGCTTGATTGAGCTCAGGCGATGGAGCATTACCTTTAGGTGGTACATCAGGTGAAGGCCCACAACCACCTGGGAGTTTCTCTCCCTGGAGTCAGTCACTGAGGCTTTACCTAGGTATTACAACTCTAATGACATAATTTCATATCTCGTCACTCTCCTTTGTTCAAACTCGTATATGCATTGGTGTACTCGCAAATACTCATCCGTAGGAGGAGCAGCACTCATGATCAAGGTGTCAGCGATCAACTACCCAAAACAGTCGGTGGCAGATTTGTTTCGAGGCAGTGCAAAGCTCCATTACAGCGCCTCCAGCTCTTCCATTTTCAAGACCCCGCTCATGTACAAGAAAAAAAAAACAGCCTACAGAAGGTTCATTGTAATGTAGGTGGGGATCTTTTGGGGTCTTTGCAGGTCCAGCCAAGGCCTGGTCGTAGTCCACCTACGCTACATTTAGTAAGCCTCCGTCTTTCCCGTTACGCTGCTGCTCCCAGTCACCACCCCTTGCGTGTGTGTATGTGTGTGTGCGTGTGGTTTTTTGTGTATGCAATTGTGACGGGGCCCAAAAGCCTGCTGAATGGCTGGAGTGTTGGAGGATTATAATGGATGGACTCGCGTAAGGGGGCTTACGGACAATCACCGTCTTCGAACGAATATCAGTTTCGGCCTGTGCCGCTTGTGCACGTCCTCAGCCACACAGACCTGAGACACAGTACAGTCTACAAGGTCGAAGTCCAGCAAGCAAAGCAGCAGTCTGTGTCCCATTTCGATCTGAGCACTCGATCTCATCTACAGCTGGAGTAAACGGGTCACTTTTGGTTATCATTAATCGGGCCTGACGTCGCCTTCCACGTACTAGAAGGAAATCTTTAGTGGGGTTATATTCTTTCTCCCTGTTGCTAAATTTTGCCCTGGATCAGGGTTGTACAGCCGCTCCAAGAACCCGGAACCCCAATGGCAACTCAGACTTGGACTGTCTGACGCGTGGACGGGAGGCTGGACCTTCTTCCTGACGTAACTGCTGGTCCATTAAGAAAAGTGGACGAGGAAACATACTCCAGGTTCTCTCTCTCGCGCGCGCTCTCTCTCTTTTAGCTGTACAGGCGTTATATAACACGAAACCTGAAACGGCTTCTGGGCTGGCGTGGTTGTAGCCAGGTAACAAGCAAATCGGGATCGAATCAAATCTAGAGATTATTTCTGTAGATGTATCGGCAGAGCTGTAAATTCAGCAAATGCTGCTGCCAAGACATTCTTCTATAATATATAAATAGTCAGTCATGTGATGAAGCCAGTGTAAATCATTGGTAGACCAAGAACAATAATAAGCATTGGGCTGAACCATAACGGCTAAAACAATACATCAACAGCCTTCCCATCAGAACATGCGAGGCGGTTGTCTCGTGCGAACCCACAGAAGCGGCAAGCGGCAGGAGACCCACGCCCTGTCTGTCGTCGACCTGGTCGCCCTGGTCCGCGGGATCCCAGTGTAAGCGCGAACGAACCATTTTCAGGGTCACAAGAAACCAAGTCCCTGTTCGATGGTTGAAACGTGAATCGCACTGTCATTTGTCGGGAGCTTCTCCTCCATGATACACGAGAGCCGAGTCTATACGCTACGAGTAGCAAAGGGAAGCACACCATAGTAACCGGCTGAACAGTATGTCGGGTCGATGAGCACCAAAAGGTGTCAACCTTGTAATATCAGATCAGCGCACGTCGGCATCAACATAGCGAGAGCAGTACTCCCGGAGGGGCTGCATGAGTGTGTCATACTGGCGAAACGAAACACGATACTTCATCGATCCTCGTCTACTCGTGGTCATAGAACAGGTTTTGTCTATCTGATATCTATCAAATAGTTCATCCAACAAATTTCTGTTCCTGGATGCCAACGATTCATTACGTATCAAACCCAATCCTGTTCTTAGGCCTCGCCTGCCGCTTTTATTATTTCATCCACTCCTAGTATAATCTCTTGATCTGTCAGAAACTTTTGGTGGATGCAAAACCCTGAGTTTGCAAGTGCTTCGGGAAAGAAAAAGGGACGAAAAGGCCCTGCAAATGTCCTTTACCCTCTAGATGCCTTGCTCTGGAAGAAGGAGCTCCCGATCGAGGGCAAAGGTAGCCCAAGGGTGTGCCGCCCTGACTGCCCATCGACCCGAGTGTCTGAATTAAATATATGACACAAGAATATCGTACAAGCGCACCGCAACATCAAAATCGAGGCCAAGGTTGTCCGCGCATAGGTCGAGGACCCAGGGGAATGGCGTTCGGACCACTGCTAGTAGCAGAATATCCATCAGGCACCAAGGCAATGTGTGCTTGAGGTAGAAAATCCAAGTCTGGACTCGGTAGACGAACGTGGAAATGGCCGGGCCCTTGTGGGGAGTAGGTGCTTCCGAAAAGCCTCTGGCCGCCATCGAATTGTTGCGATTGAGGTATTTGGTTGAAGTTTCCCTAGTAGGGAGCGTAACCACCTCGTCCGCGGCCACGGTTTCCACCACGGTAATTGCCACGAGGCATATAACCCCCTCTTCCTCCATGAAATCCTCTTCCGAATCCTCCACGGCCACGGCCACGTCCCCTAGACATGCCTGGGATGTTTGTTCGCTTCGGGGTCACCTTGATGTTGCGACCCTTGAGTACGCTGTCGTTGAGAACCAGGGCTTGTGCGACAAGGCTGGGCTCGGTGAACTCTACGTAGGCATAGCTGGTGCGCAACAGCGATTAGTTGAAAGTCAAATATACTTTGGCAAAGGCTGTACTAACCCCTTCGGTTGGCCGGTGAACTTGTCCAGCAGTATCGTGACTCGATTAATGGAGCCACATTCCTGGAAGTGAGCCTGGATCTCTTCGGGGGAGACGGAGTAGTCGACGTTGCCAACGAAAATGCTGCGGCTATCCACGTCGTTCTTATCATCTTGCTGGAGGTCGTTGCCCCGTTCTTCCAGGCTGGCCTGCATCTCGCGAAGTTTTGCGGCCTCTTTCTCCATCTCGGCTACTCGGCGCTTCATGGCACTGATCTCCTCCTACGTACAACAAGATGAGTATGTCAGCCGGCATGATCGCGTGAGGCGTGTCTGCATGTGGGCAACAGGGCGGAACCATTCTTCGACGAGATCAAGAGGTAGGAGGTAGGAAACACAATTGGGGCGTGCGCACCTCTTCGTTATTCTCTCCAGCGGCGCCATCAGCCTGGTGGTTCTCGGCAGGCACCTCAATGCCGTCTTGCTTCTCGGCGTCGGCCATTGTGTGTGAGGTAGGATGAGCCGGCGGCAGCTGGGGTAAACAGTGTCGCAAAAGGTTGCTCTATCGGAGTCAGTCAAAGTCAGGGATCCTATTTCGTCAGATAGGTTAGTTTGTGCCTGTCGCAAGACTTGATATGGTTTGGACTGAAATTGAGGATGGTTTGCCGAAGGCGGCAACAACAAGGCTGCGACGCCAGATGGAAATACTGACCCCACTGTAGCTCGCGGTCCGCGGTCAAGTTATCTGCAAGGGTCTAGCTGATGAAAGCCGCCAGATCAAGTAGAAAGCTGCAAAGTTCAGTGAGGACAGAAAGCAGGATGACTTGCGACGACGGGCCCAACCGTGGTGATGATCAGCGCAAAGTTGTGGGATCCAAGTGAAAGCGCGTCAAGGTTGTAGGGCGGGTTGGAGCTGAAGCTTCAAAAATTCCTGGTACCAGACTCACATTGACACGCCTAGCCAATACGCGGGTGGCAGAATAATGTAGGTAAGAGTGACCTCAATGCCGGTGACGGTGGGTCCAACCTTGGAAGGCAGCACTAACCGACGCGCTTCTTCCAGGCTCACCCGTTGGCCGGGTTAGAGGTTCTTCCCAGCCGGAAGATCGATGCCTGGCTACATCTGGCCTTGTGCAGTTCAGGTTAGGCTTAGCGCCAGAGTGGCTTGTAAGGGTACTTACTTTCTAGATCTGCATACTGCATTTCAAGGACTCACGACTATGTCTGTTTTACATAGCGATTGCTTGCAGCATCTGACACAAGATGCAAAGAGGATACCACAACCAACCAACAAACATGCAGCGACACAACCATGGAAGACACATGTTTGAGGGAATCAAGTTGAATAAAGGACTGCAGATAGATTACACTATTCTATGATTGCTCTCTATTTGTTCTATATTGTCGTAATCTATACAGTCTATATAATCATTATACAATAGATCGATCCATAACATTCTTCCAAGAATCCCAAGTCGTGGTTCTATACATGACTGAGGGCAATACCAGTAAAAGCTCCCTCGCCATCGTAAAACTTTTGTTTGTTACTGCCGTCCATGTTGAACCGGTAAACCGAGCCACCAAGATCAGTAGCATAGATGTGGCGGTTCTTCTTGTCAATGGTGAGGCCGATTGCTTCGTGCATGTTCCGGGCCAAAATGTCGTACTTGCCACTCCCAATGTCGCCGAGGGACGCGCGGTTGATGCTGTTGCCCAAAGGCAGCTCTCCGCGATCGGTCCAGTACAGGAGACCTCCTTCTTCATCGACCTCGAGGTCGATGGGCTCAGGCAGTCCGTCGAACAGTCTCTCAATGTCCGTCCTGTTCTTGGCGTCGGTGCCGGCGGGAAAATTGATCGAGGCCCGGAAGATCTGGCCCTTTGCTCCCTTGGACGGGCCCTTTTGCGTCCAGTAGAATTTTCCTTGGTCGGGTGCAACAGCAATGCCTACGCACCACTTTGTCTGGTCCTCGAAGCCTTGGGTCCAGTCGCCCGTCTCCACGAGAACTTCCAGGTCGGATCCGTCAAAGTTGCACCGCATAACCCTCATGCCTTCGCGGTCAGAGAAGTAGACCTTTTTGCTTTTTTCATCAATGGAGATTTGTTTTGGGGTGTGAACCAGGCCCTCGGGAACAATAGCCTTGACGTTGCTGCCATCCATCTCACACGAAAAAATACTACCATCGTTCTTGGATGGTATTCCCATATTCGTCCAGAAGATGAGCCTGTCACTGTGGCTGATAGCAATACCGTCTGGGAGATGTTGGTGCTCGACAACAGTACGCAGTGGCGATTTTCCGTCTGCGCTTCCAACCAGAATTCGACCAGAAGAGAACACTTCCTCTGGCTTGTTGGACAGTCCAACATCAAGGAAGTATAATTCCGGCGCCTGTATATTGTCGAATGCGGTCTGAGACTGGTTGCCAGTCTTTGTTGTGTAGCCGGGCGGGTACACTGCAAGACTATACTTAGCAAGCATCCTCCAGAGATTTGTGAATTAATTTGCGTCATAGGGAAATTGCTTACATCCTCCCTTGCTGCTCTTGGCGCCCAGTTTTCCGTCGTCGATATAGTTCTGCAAGTACGAAATGATACCGGGATCTTTCAGGCCGCGCTCCTCAATGTAGTGCTGCTCAATGAAGGATACAGTATCGAGACCCACAGCATCCATTGCCTTGCATGGTGCCAGGCCCGTGTTGACGAACATTTCTGTCCAAACTTCGTCCAGCTCCTCTGGTGTAGAAACACCGTCTAAAAGCACTGTAAGGCACTCCCGCTTGACAGCGGCCCAGACACGGTTGATGACGAATCCGGTGGACTCTTTGTGAGCGACGATGGGCAGCATGCCAATGTCTCTCAACATGCTAACGAGGAAGGGAAATATCTCCTCATTGGTATCACCGCAAGTCATGAGCTCGACTATCTTATTGTCCGGCGGCATCACTATGAGAAGTCAGTAGCAGGACTGGAGAACGTTGAGCGCTGTGAATGATGAAAAGCAAAAAGCAAAAAGAAGGAAACCTTGATTGTCTGCGCTCAGACAAGTTTCTCAAGGTATTTCAAAAACAATTGGGTCATACATACTATAATGCATGTTGAGGACTCGTCGACGGGTTTCGGGCTTAAGATGCTGAGCAACTTCCCTCGACTTGTATGACGATGAATTAGAAACGAGAATGGCATCCTGAGGAGCCAAACGTTCGAGCTCTGCAAACGTGACATGCTTGATTTCCAATTTCTCAGGGACACACTCGATCACAAGGAACGCCTTTTCCAGCGCGGGTTCGAGATCTTGGAATGTCTGCACCTGGAGTTGTTCGTTGGCGTGCTTTCCGGGGAATCTCCATCCATTGGATTTGACGTATTCCGATGCTGCTGCACATTGCTCCTTGCTCGGGTCGCGCAGCACAACACTATAGCCTCCAGCAGCCCAAGCTGCGGCGATGCGGCGTCCGAGGACGCCGGCACCGAGAATAGTGACAGTTCTGTCGGTTGTTGAGGGGGTTTTCCAAGACATTTTCAGAGGTTTCTGGAATATTTCTGCGGTATCCGTTGATTCCGTGCCAAGGCGGCAGCTGTATTGTCTTTATATACATCCTCCCGTTCGGCGTCTCCAGTTATCTTGATGAGACCGTGCCCGATACTATCGCCTAGTCCGAACGGGGACCCGCTGGATGCCTCGGCTGGTCGAGGATAGCATCATGGTCGCCTTAGTCAGTTGCCATGCGAAAATCATCATGCATTGATGGAGATCTCCCCTAGGTTTGTTATCATCCAATTCCATGGACTTGGGTCTGCTGCGCCCAGATTGGCGGGAGAGGGTTCTTCATATCCACCAAAAGGTGGCCGGAACCGAGGAGGGCAGCCTAAGCGTCCCAAGAGCACCGAGGCTCATTTTCGCGCTCTCGCCTTTATCCTTTTATCACGAATACACGATACTTCCCCTATGTTTCTATAAAGCCCGCGGAGAATAGGAGAATAAAGACGTCAGGTATAATGTGGCAAGGTCTCATGGCATGAGACGATAGAAATACCTAATTATGAGTGCCGAGTCCAAGATCGTCGTCTGAGACGCCATGAACTCTTTTTAAACTTCCGCGCGGTTAGAAATACCCGTCTCATTTATAAGTCTACTATCCCTTTGACCATATCAGATAGTTAATTCTTCTCCAAGTACAGAGTAGCTCTCTTCCTTTGTGCAAGTAAAGAGATGCGGAATTTAAAACCGCATCCTATTCTTCCCGGTGGCGATCGTTTCCGAAGATCAACACGCCAATCCGGTTTCTTATTGTTGAATAATACCATTGTACCATAGAACCAAAAAAGACATATCCCCACGGTCTGGGAACATAACAGGTATTATCTAACACACCCCCTCAGCTGGGACATAGTTCTTTACGGGCGAGCTAGACATCCAATATTCCAATAGGCTTTTAGCTCCGTTACGTCTTTTTTTAGCTAAATAACATAGCTAAGGATCGAACCCAGAACCTCCCTTTATTCGGTGCATTACTAATTATGCTATTAGGTTATCGCGGAAATGCGTAAGTCGCCAACCCACTGGTTAATGTACGGGTGGCCCTTGCGAGCGAATAAGACTCTTAATTATTAAATAATACCATTATATTATAAAACTAAAAGAGACATGTCCCCACGGTCTGGGAATATAATAGGTATTATCTGACATTTATCTTATTATTAATAGCTTGAAGTCATATATATAGGAAATTAATAGGGACTTAATGTATTCAGTACAAATAAACGGATCTGGCTATATAGGTTTAGTTAAATAAAGTGCATAAAACCTAATTACCTCCCATAGCCCACCGGAAATAGCCGTTAAACCGGAGGTCCCGGGGTTTAATGCTTTTATCCGTTAAAACGAGAGTTATACCTATTATTTTAGTTAAAGTCAATTTTCTATACGCCCTTTATAATAAGCGATTTAATCGAAATAAAAAAATAAACCTTATTACGATAATTTATAATATAATTTATAGTTAAATAATAGTAATTATACCTATAATTAGGTTATAATTTATTATATTTAGTAAATATACGAAATGCTTAAAGTCCTTAAATCGTATCGCTTTTATAAGTTTATCAACGGCGTTTTCCGTGGATATAATTTTTTTAATTAAAATATTCTTAATAAAGACTTTTTATTAAATATAATAAAAATACCTTTTAATATGCTTTTTCGTAAATATGCTAATTTAGGCTTTTGCTTACGCTTTTGCGCTTATATTATTAATTAATAAAAAAATTGCCTTTTAAGGTATTATTTTTAATTCCTTTAATAAATTCCTAATAAATGCGGTTTTATAAGCGCTTTTATTAATAACGTAATATTTAGCTTTTATAATGAATTAAATAATTATATTTTGCAATTTTAAACTTTAGCTTATTAAAAAGCCTGCTATAAACGTTATTTATTTAAACGTAAATTTAAAAATTAATTTATCGCCTATAAAATTAGCGTTAATATAAATATATAATCCTAATTTTTTATATTTAGTATAGCGATAAAATCGAGTATATTTTATTTTTTTATACGGGTGCTTTAAAAGTATTATAGCATTTTATTTAAATATTTAATATAATTAAAGGACGGGTTATTTATAAAGCGCGTTTATATTTTATTAGCGTATATTATATTTATATATAGCTTAATTATAGCGTAATTCGTTTTCCCGAATTTTTTAGAATATTAATTTTTAAATTTTTAATTAACGTAGCCTTTAAATTTATAAATTATTATTATTAATCCCGGATTAATAAAAATAATAATATTTTTAATATTTTAATATCCGAGTTTTTTAAATATTTAATTTAAATATTTATTTTATAATAATATAATATTATTATTTTTTTTTAGATAATGCGTATTTTTAAATATTATTTAGCGGTATTTAGGTATTATAATTTTAGCTATTTATTTAGCTATTAAACTAATTTTTCGATAGCTTTAATATTTATATATATAATTATAAAATTATTTATATAAAAAGTTAATATTGCACGGATGTTAATACAGCATCGTATAGTGCATAAAATTAGCTTTATAACGCATATTATATCGTTATAATAGCTATAAAACCCATCGAGATATCGTTAAATAACGATATATAGGAAATTAGTGGAATTTACCCTATATTAACTTATAATTAATATAGCACCACTTATAACCACTATTTATAGTGCTATATAGTCAATAGATTATTATAATTGACTATTATGGCTATTATGGCCACTAGAACCTATTAAAATCTAGTAAAACGTTCCACTAAATCAAGCCCTACTAAATATAACCAATACATTTAGCTATAATAGTCCTAAAGTTATAAAATAATTTATACCGTAGAAATTTATAGAATTTTATAGTTTTTTCGATTATAAATCAACTTTATTACTAATTAATTTAATTATAAATCTAATTTATTAGTAATATATTTTAAAATATTTTTATTAGTTAATTTTATAAGTATAAAAGGTAGTTATTCTTTTATAATTAGTTATTTTTTCCTTAAGCTTTAATAAATTAGTTATATAGCCTTATAATTATTTTTACGGCCTAATTTTACGAATTATATAAACGCTTCCTTATACCTAAATTTATAATTTACTAATTATACCTTAAAATAAGTTATAAGCCCGGTCCGGTATAATATCGATTATATTTAGATACCGGACTTAAATCACATCGAAAACTATAGCCGCTTTCCCGGACGAGTTAATATAACGTAAATTCCGGAATTCCGTTATAATAGCCGATTTTATAAGCTTTATTTTAAGCTTATATAGCCGTAATTATATCGAAAACTATAGTTAAGTGGCTATTTATAGTAATTTTACCCGTTATAGCCATATAACAGCTATAAAGTTATTTATAACTAATTCTTATTATAATAGCCGATTTGCTATAGCACCTTATAGCACCTGCTATATTATATTATAGCACCTAGATCCCCTTATATACTTTATCGATAAAATAAAAGAATTAATTTCTTTTATTTTTATTTTCTTAACGATTCCTTTACCGTTTTTAACGATAATTATACCGTTATAACGGCAAAAATTCGGTAAAATAGATAACTCTATCCGTATTATTGCCGGATGCCAGATGCCGGAGAAACAAAAATTTTCCGGATCCGGAAATTAAAATACGTGGAAATTTACGTTATAATTATACCTTAAATTACTAAAAATCGATCGGTTTTTTAAAATTACCAATATATATAACGGTATAACCAATATTTAAAAAACCTAGGTATTGCTTTTAATTCGTTAAAATTTAATAATAGAACCGTTAAATTTAATTTTCGATAAAATAAATTTATATAAAGCCTTATCCACTTTATAATCAGCCTATTAAAGCACCGGTCCTGTATTACGTTAATAATTATATTTCGAATTTTATACGATTAAATTCGAGAATTATAATTCGTTAAACAAATTTATATTTATTTTTAAAAAATATATTTTAAAGCTTTTAAACGTTAAGGCTAAAATCGATAATATCGATTAAAAACAATTTTTATTATAGCCCTCTAATTAGCTTACCCTATATAGGCTAATTATTAACGCAATGCTTTACGGTCTATAAATCCACTTATTTTCGAAAGGTTAATTACGGATATTTTAAATAAAAACCGATAGGATCCGGATACGGCTATAGGAAACTTTTATTATACGGATAATAAAAAATCCCGGTTTCCCCGATCCAATTAAAATTAATAAGAAACCCAAAACGGAAATAAAAAGAATTCGAATAAATCGAATAAATAAAAAAAATCGAATAATTCGAATAATTCTAATAATTCGAATAATTTAAATAAATCGAATAACTCAAATTCGACCACATCCACCACAAACCAGAAATCTAAAAAACAGGGAAATTTACCCCGTAACAAAGATTTAAACGAAAACGAATCGTTCTATGCTTTTTCGAATATTTCGAATAATTTAAAAAAAAAATTAACCACCCTCCCCAAAAACTAATAATTATACGATACAAATTCTTTAAAGCATATATCGAATAATAAAAATTTATTCGATAATTTTACTATAAAATCGGATTTTTTACCGATTATTATAAATAATAGAAAAATATTTCCAAAAAAATTAAAAATATTACGCTTTCCTTCGAAATTAACCGGGAAATACGTAAAATAACGTTATTAAACGTGCTTTATATACCGGAATTTCCGCTAAATATTATATCCGGCTAATTATATTACTAAAAAGGCGGTATTATAAGCGGGAATAAATTATATAATTTTAAAAATAAGCTTTTTATTACGTTAAATTAAAAAAAACGTAAATTTTTCCTATACCTAATAAATAAATTAAAGCCTAATATAGTATATTTAGCTATAAATCCACTAAAAATAATAAAAAAAGCCTATATAATCGGTTTAAATTACCCGGAACCGAATTCGGATACGAAATTTAACAAAATTACGGATTTCGAAAAAATCAAATTAATTTCTAATTATTCGAATTTTTTTATAGCTA